AGGGGGGGGGGACGGACAAGAGAATTTGGGAAGAGAGTGGAGGGAAGAGAGTTTTGGAAGAGAATATGGAGGAAGGGGGAGAGGGGACGGGAATAGAGTGGCGGAGTTCTTTTTTATAGAGGCTTTTTACTAAAATGATGAAATTTTACACCCCTATCAACACTATTAGGTTACTTAAGATGCAGAACCTCCAAGTTTAACGTCCATCTCCAAAAGGACCGAGCCAAATGGGAAATTCGAGTAAAGTGCCTTTCCCAAGAACACAACGCCGGACCGAGCTGAGGATCCAACCCCCGAACCCGCCATCTCATGATTATGGGTCCGGCAGTCTAACCACTAAGCCACCGAAGCCACCCCTATTCACTGAGCATTGGGGAACATTAAGATGTTCCGATGACAGAAGCTTACATATTAAGTGGTGGCCAATGTTCGTTTTAAACTTATATTATTATTGTATTAATGAAGGGTGTTATTAAGACTGTCACCTCATTTAAGTATAAAAAAGTCACTGGCGCTTAGAACACAAAAACTGTCAGGGATGTTGGTCGTGTTGGTAAGAAGATCAACACGACAGAACATGTAGCTCATTGCAATAGCTTTCAGACTACCTCCGTTTTATCTATGTCACTGACTAGCTCAATTATGACCTACAAAATATCGCTAATTTTGTTCTTATTCGAATTGAAAATAATGGTAGAAATCAAGATATTGTACCCAAAATTGACAGAAAACATAGACATTGTTTTCAAGTATATATTTATGGGCTGGTTTAAAATCCAAGGCACACCCTCTTTTTTCTGGGGGCTTGGTTTTTACTGTGGGGAGGGGGGGCTAAAATATATACTTTTAAACGTTTGATTTTTCTGATCGTATATGAAGGATGAGTGTGCGGAAAGTCTGGGTTCGAGCCACGGTTCGACATAGATTTTTTTCGCCCCCTCCTGCCCATCTAGCAGTAATAGTTGGGGAAGTAAAGCGAGGTGGAAAGGAACTGGCCCCCCTACCACAATATGCTCAAGGCTCAGGAAGTTGTCTTTAAAATGCACGTTTGTAATTTAAAATGTAATTTTTAAAATGAATGACCAGGTACTATTCAGTTCAATAGACATAAAACGGACGAATGCAGATATACATGCATTTCAAATTATATAGCGTTATTTTAGGACTCTTTATACGGTTCTATTTCTTGACATAAATCTCAACGAGAAATATTCCATAGCTGAATTTTTTTTAAAGAAGAAAAATGAATGACAGCAAGTAATATGAATTAAGAATTTGTTTTTTAAGATATCATTTTTTTAAGAGAATGAAATTTAAGTTCAAAAAAGAAGGAAAGAAAGACGATTCGGGAATAAAACTAAAGCGAATCGTAAAAAGAAAGTAATTAAGAACTTTTAAAAGACATTCAAAGTTAAAATTAGAGTGTGAGATTCAGAGAAAGGAAAGAGAAATAAATGCAAACGCAAAGAAAAAAAAAGGAGACGCCACGAGCTGTACCTTAAGGTAAACACTGGAAGAGAGGGTTCCGTCAGAAGCGGTCAGTTCTACCAGGTACACTGGGGTCGTCTCATAGTCCAGCTGTTGCTTTATGGTCACCGACCCCACCGTGGGGTCTGCAATCTCAAAATCGGGGGAACCTGTGGGGTGGGACAGGGGAGAGAGAGAGAGAGAGAGAGAGAGAATGGGGAGGGAGGGAGGGAAAGAAAGGGAAAGTGAGAGAGAGAGGGAGGGAGGGAGAAAAAGGGAAAGTGGGAGAGGAAGAGTGTGGAGGGAGGGAGGGAGAGAAGGGAAAGAGGGAGAGGGAGAGGGAAGGGGGAAAGAGGGAGAGAGAGAGAGAGAGAGAGAGAGGCGGGAGGGATCAGGGTGGGAGGCAGAGGGAGAGCAGCGGGAAAGTGTGT